TAGACTACGGAGAATTTGGCAAAATTCACGCGACCCTCTTGATAAAACTCGTCTAAATCGTGCAGCTCAGAAATTAAAACGATGTTTAGTGGAACTGAAAAATACATGGTTTGACGATTTTACGAAAAATCTAACCCCAACTGAAGCAACTGAGTATTCTCTTTGGAAGTCTACTAAATATATTAAACGTCCAGTTCAACATGTACCTCCAATTCGGAAACCTGACGGGTCCTGGGCTAAAACCCCTGAAGAAAAAGCGAAGGTTTTTGAAGATTACTTTTCTGATGTATTTAAGCCTATTACTCCGAATCCCCCCAATGACGAAAGTGAAATTTACGAATTTTTGGATACACCAAATCAGTTGTCACTGCCTATAAAATCTTGCACTCCTTCAGAGGTTTCAAGAATAATTTTTAAGGAAATTAACCCCGTGAAAAGTCCTGGGGACGATCTCATCACTGGAAAAATTTTAAGAGAACTACCTCGTAAAGCCATTATGTTGTTGACATTTATATTTAATGCTATGTTACGATTGGAATATTTTTCTGTTCAACTGAAAATTGCACAAATAGTTGTTATCCCAAAACCAGGCAAACCACCTAATGACGCATCTTCTTACAGACCCATAAGCTTGCTTCCTATAGTATCAAAGTTGTTTGAAAAGGTAATACTTAAAAGGTTAACCCCCACTGTTGATGAATTAAACTTAATACCAGATCATCAGTTCGGCTTCCGCAAACAACATTCTACCATTCAACAAACCCACCGGTTAGTGGATATTATAAAAAACACATTTGAGAAAAAACAGTACTGTTCTGCTGCATTTTTGGATGTCCAACAGGCGTTTGACAAGGTGTGGCATGTCGGACTTCTGTTTAAACTCAAAACGTCTCTCCCTCACTCTTTGTACAACCTTCTAAAATCATATCTGACCAATCGATCTTTTCAAATAAAATTCGAAAATTCGTTATCTGATCTGAAGCCGATAAAGTCTGGGGTACCTCAGGGGAGTGTTCTTGGTCCCTTGCTATATTTGATATATACAGCAGACATCCCTATGGTCCCCAACGTCACAGCTGCTACGTTTGCTGATGACACCGCACTGTTGTCGAGTCATGTGGACCCTCAAGTCGCTTACATAAATCTACAAGCTGCCTTGACTGATCTCCAGTATTGGCTTAAAAAGTGGAGGATAAAAGTCAACGAAAACAAGTCCAAACATATTGTTTTTACTCTGAGAACAGGGTACAATCCTCCTGTATCCATTAATAATGTAGCCTTAACGGAGGCAGACAGTGTAAAATATTTAGGTCTAACTCTTGACAAAAAATTAAATTGGAAATCTCATATCTGGTGCAAGAGACAGCAAATGGAATTAAAACTTCGTAAACTCAATTGGCTACTAGGTACGAATTCAAAATTATCATTGGCTAACAAAATTTTACTGTATAAAGTTATGATCAAACCAATTTGGACATACGGAATTCAACTTTGGGGGACCTCGAGCAAATCCAACATCGAAATTCTTGAACGATTTCAGGCTAAGGCACTGAGAAGAATTATTGGCGCACCCTGGTTCGTATCCAACACTACAATTAGGAATGACTTCAAAATTAAATCAGTGAAAGAAGAAATTACAGACCTTAGCAAAAATTATCAAGAAAAATTAGAATATCATCCGAACAGTCTTGCTGTTAATCTGCTGGACAATAGTCAGTGCATTAACAGGTTAAAAAGTGTTGTGCATGTGCTGGACCTAAACTACAGATTTCTGTAAATGTTTTAATGACTGATCAAATTTTTGGCAAGACTTGTTGATGAACAGGTGCTTGCAATGACTGATCAAATTTTTGGCAAGACTTGTTGATGAACAGGTGCTTGCTTCCTGACATTGTTTGATATATGTTTTACTTATTGTTCTCATATTTGAAGTTTGAACAGATTGTAAAATAAATTCTGATAAAAAAAAAAAAAAAATACAATTTGCTTAACGTAACAGCTGTAAACAATCAGCGTTTTCGGCACAAGTTCAGCATTTGGATGAAAATGAAATGACATACGTAGGGTTGACTTTCTATACTATGTGTAATGCTTTAATAATTGATAGGTTTATTTATTCGGTTTGAGGACGAGATATAATTTAAATATACAAAGTAAAATTAAAATAATAGATGTTCTAATTTATTATTTCAACAGTCTATAAAATCTTTAGTTTGTTTTATATAATTTGTTATAACTAACAGCTGGTTGAATATACAAATATTCTAAGAACTATGAGTTTAGTTTATTTACTCTGTGATTTTGGATTATAGAAATTAAGTAAGATTCTATAACCATTGCTTTATACGAATCGAAGCTCGCGAGACTTCAAAAGAAAGCTTATGAAAATTGTTTTACCACCCGAATTTTTGACAACAGGTTGGGAAAGTAACGACGACCAGAAGTTTTAATTAATCTTGGTAGCTTTTTCTTTACAATAAACTTTGAACTGCTTAAACTAAGCTTGAATTAGGAATAGACATATTGATATAATTATATACAATTTTAATGGACTGCTCGATTCCCAACAGGAATCCCTGTAGGACGGGCCAACAGCTCGTTTTAAAATAAAACGATTTATTCCCGAAACATACCATTAATTTACATGGCATGTTTTAAATTATACTTCATCTATATATTTTGTAAGAAAAACAAATCTATTTAAAAATCATAAAATTTAAAATTCCTGCCGGACCGATTTTGTTACTTAATCGTTGGAAAGCCTAATTCGTGTAGATTTGCAAATAGTTATGAAAGTGTGATTTTATTACTTTTTGAGGAGAAAAAATGAAAATAAACAATAATACATTTAAAACGCCTTTTTCCAAGTTTATATTTGTAGCCAACTTTAGACTGTCTTTATTGAGTATTTTCAGGAAATTTTATTCTATCAAGAATATCACCGTCCACTTTGGTCGATTTCCTCACCATTTAAAAGTTACTCTATTTTCAAAAACCTTAAGCAACCTCCCAATTTATAGTGGTGAGAAAATACTGAATGAAAGATGTTGTTAAACTTTGTACAATTAAATCTACAGTTCTACTGAACCGATTTTATTAATTAATAGGTCATTGGTAAACCTAATTTGTGTAGATTTGCAAATAATTATGAAAGTTTGATTTTTTAAAGATTGCCTAGATGAAACCCGTCAAAGTCGACAGTTACTGTTGATGTCGCAAGCAAGATCGTTTGACTATAAATCGATGATAAATGACTCTATTTTTTGAACAATTTGTGTTGTTCGTGATTTAGCTGTGTCCTTTAGGTACGTCCGATCTTAATAATCAATAAATCAAAAGGAAGCTGGTATTTCACTGAAGGTTCTTAGGTCAAAACAAATAGAATAACGTAATTTGAATTGAGTAAAAATATCACAAACTAAATTCCACATCCAAGATATAATCAAATTTATGTTTTCTGATTGAGCGATACAGTATTTTGAAGTTAACTGATTAAAAACAGTGCTTTAGGTACGATTATTAAGATCGGAATATTAATAATTAAAAGCTCAAATGAAAGCTGGTATTACTATCACTATATATTATATATTATTATATATACTATATATATATATTATATCACTAATGGTTTTTAGACCAAAACTTATAGGGTAATTTAGTTAGAGCTGCTGAAATACATCTTTAATTGAAGTAAAAAAAATTAAATTTTTTCGTTGGGTAATACATTAGAAAAATTAATGATTATGTTTGATCACAAATATTTGCTTGCATAACTTTATTTTAAGACCAAAATTAAGAAAATGGATTGAGCAGAAGAGCCAAACGAACTTGAAAAAAACTAATTTAACTCCCATTAGAAATGTACAGGGACACATTTTGTGCATAACTCGAAATATACGTAAATAAAAATGAATGCCGATTCTTGATTGCAAATCTGTAGTGCGTCCATACCTTTAGTTTGAGGCCAAAATTGTGAAAATCGGTCGAGTAGAAGAGCTAACCCGACTCGGGAAACAAACCCCAAATATTATTATAGATGGCCATAGGTGGTTTATCAGTATGCATAATCTAATCATACGAAACCTTTTGTGTTAATAACTAAACGGCTTATTGTTATTTGATTGATTTGTCTTTAATTAAATGTTGTCGTTAACAATTTGCATTTGTGTTTAAAGTAAATTATCATTCTAATGTTATGTGCTTAATCTGTACCATTAATATTAGTAAGTAAAGTGGTGTATGGATTTTAAAACCATTAATAATCGTGGAATAGATATGATAATTAAATAATTATTTTTCGTAGCCAAGCAAGTGTACGGTAATTTGTACAGTTACTACCTACTTTACAGAAAACGGTCTCTTAGTCAGCCCGCAATACAGCAGTGTTTTGGTAAAGTATCCTAGATTTTGCAGGCGTAGTTACGAGTGAAGTAGTCTCAGTTGTCCGCCGCACCGTTTGGTTAGGTCGGCCAAACCAAACTGTGCGACTCAGAGGCAAGTGGGAGGGATTGTTGGTCTCATACTCCGCCGGCCGCAGACCTTGCGGAAACTAGCGCGGGGGAGATTGACCGCGGTGGACCTAGGTATGACTCCACGAACGAACAATGAACCAAGTTTACAATGAAGTTCATGTTGAATGAATGAGATAACAGATTTATTATATAGAAAGAAATTGATTATTTATACATATCGATTAATGGTCTTTAGAGTGTTGGACACAGTTACAGTAAAACAGAATATTAGGGGATATTCGCAAGTCGTTTTCGAATTCATTAATTTAAAATAATCAATGATTAATTTTAATCACGTAAAACGTTTTCGGATGGCTTGATAACTTTCTAAAAAGAAAACAAATAATAACAAAAATAAACAGTCCCGTCTCCCATCTTGTAACCTCAAACTGAACTGACTAGTGACTGTTGTTATGTTACTAGGTTAAGACTTCTATCTGTATCGTTCGTATTTAAGACATTTTTGAAGAGGCAATATGAATTAAAATTATACTTGTGAATTAAAATAGGGGTTTAATCAATTTTTGTCTGCCTTAGTACAGTTTTCAAATAGGTTATGTGTGTTTTAGACTCAAAATTTAAGTTTTTGTTCGGCCTACTCTGTTACTGTGTAAGCCTATTTTAATATGTTTATTGTTTAATTGCAACACACGTCGTTGGTATACCCTATGGTGTTATTAATTCCATCCGATGTTTGTGGTGTCTTTGCTGCATATAATGTGCAATACAATACCTAAGGACAGAGCTTTGTAACTTATTTAGGGTAGGCTAGTAAGTTACAATTTCGTTTGCTAACCATGGAAGTTCAAAATGACCACGGCCTTTTAGTCGTAAGTCTGGAAAACTGCATTACTTCAGGTAAGTTTGTGAAGCTATTCACTTTTTGAGTTGAATAAATTATAAATAAGCTTAGGCTATTAATAAGTTAGGCCTATGTTCCAGATAACTTAAAATTTTGGTCCCTTGAGATCAATCTTAGACCACATATAAATTGTGTCTAGATATTTGGTAGAAATTTACCCAATTCAATCTTTACATAGACTATCCACCCTTCCCTTGGCCGTCAAGGTCAACAGCTCTAGCAATGTCAGTAGGACTTAAACGATAAGCCCTTCCTAGGTTGTCTCCTAGATTTGATGGTAGGTAAAATTTCCGGCCTTGGCTATTTTTATGGATTTGTGTTATCATAGGCCTATCGTAGCCATATTTAAAAAAGTAAGATGCCTTGTGTAACTTTGTTATGACTAAGATTAGCTGTTACATTAGCCACCCTTTTTAAAAACCCAACGACCAAGGACACCTGGGTCCAGTTTTGAACCATCAAAAAGCCATTGTAATCGTTCTCAGGATCGAACCGTTGACATGAAATGATTACTAAATGAGCATTTTAACCAACCAGCTAACCAGCTTTTCATATTTTTTCCTCCATAAGATATCAAACAATGAAAACAAAAGACTACACACTTTATTTGCTACAAATGTTATGTCATCTATGGTATATATTAAATATTTAGTTTTCTTTTCCATGTCGGTTCAGCTTATCTATCTGACCGATTTTCATAAATGTTGGTCTTTTAAAAATGAAAGGTATGGACTCACAGATTTGCCATCAAGCTTCAGCATTAATTTATCTGACTTATATTTCGAGTTATTACAAAAAGCAGCTTGCTCTCCTCCCTGTACATTTCTTATGGGAGTTAAATTTGGTTTTTCTTTTCCGAGTTCCTTTGGCTCTTCTACCTTACCGATTTCCATAATTTTGGTCTTAAATTAAAGGTAGGTATGCATGCACAGATTTTCCATAAAGAATCATCATTCAGTTATCTAACTTATTGTATTACCTACTTGATCAAAAAATATAAATTTTACTTTTTTCATACCGGTATTCTTTGTAACTCCAATTAAAGACGTATTTCCCTAGTAAGTTACTAATTACATTAACCTATAAGTTTTGGTCCAAGACCCTTCAGTGAGATATCAGCTTTCATTTGAGCTAGCCTATTGATTAGGCTATTAAGGTCGGAGGTACCTGAAGGACACTGCTGAATCAACATAATAATTATAATTATTTTAAGACTTATCTGCAATCAATGATACCTAACACCATTTTTATTTTATTTTTTATATGTAAGTAAAGTGGCTGGTTTAGAATACTCCTTGAAATAAAGGTTTTCATTTGAGACGTATTGATCGTTTGAATCTGTTAAGTTCAAGATACTGTATTAGTACTCTTAAAAAAAACCTAAATTTGATTATTTCTCGGATATGGAATTTAAATTTGGCTATTTTTACTCAATTCTTATTGATCCTACTATAATATGTTTTGATTTAAGAACCTCCAGTGAAATAGGTACCAGCCTTCATTTGAGTTACGGTATTGATTAAGATCGAACGTACCTAAAGCACACTGCTGAATCACAAAGAACCCAAATTGTTCCAAAAATGGAGTTATTTATCATCGATTGATACTTAAATAAATGATTTTCTTTAAACCGCAATAGTAACCGTAGATTTGAATGGGTTTCAACCGGTTAGACTTGTAAATTACAGTGGAAAATCACTACCCTATGGGGTAAACTTGACTTGTTAATTTTTACTCACCAAAAAAATATTTTACAACTAAGTTGGGTACATTTAATAACGATAGGTACCGACACCTATCTACTTTTAATTTGATAGTAAATGCTGTTATGTTTACAGACCCTTGCGAGCTGGGTAAGACCAATAGCTGCGTTTACACAAGTGGAGCCTGCGGACCGGAGACGTCTGTTGTGCAGCTTACAGCTCCTGTACAATGTATCGGAGACATCCGTCAAACACTGTCGTCGCGAATGCAACATCAACACCTGACTCAGCTGCAGCCGATACAGTACTCTCAAGTGAGTGGATCATTTGATGACTAATAGAGATGACTAATAAGTGGTTGGAAACAGGTATTCCTAAAATGTAGAATAGGCCTAGGCCTACTATGTAGAAAAAATAAAAGTCTTGATTTCAAATTTCTTCCGCTTTGTCACTGAGAATTATCAGTATACGTTGGTTTTGGTATTAGGTACATTTTCAGAAAGGTAGTAATACGGTGTAGCCTATAGTAGGCTAATACTGTAATTGAAGAATAAGTAAGTACTTACAAAATCTTAAGTGATAGATGGATGAATAGGGATAAATTGAGGAGAGGTTAGTAATAAAAAAATAGGGCACTTTCTTGTTAAAGGGAACATTAATTATTATCAATGATTTTTTTAAAATTTAGGTTTAATCATATTTTTGTGTTCAATATCAATATTTGTGTTCCTTTACTATCCATATTCCTTCTGTTTTAATATCTTAAAACACATTTAAATAACAAATTGACAACACTGATCTTGTTTAGGCTAAAAAATATACTTATCCTACCCTGATTAAGAAATGAAAAAGTTCTAAGCTAACCTAACATAACTAACCAAACTTGCTGTACCATTTCAAAATTCCGTTTGATAACGTAAAAGGCAAGTGGTGAATATCAAACTGAATTTTAAAATGTTACAGCAAGTTTGGTTAAGCTACCCTATGTTAGGTAAGTTTAGAACAGTTTCATTTCATTATAAGTTAATTTTTGTTTTAATTGTTTGTTGATACAGAACAGTATTTATTTGTAGTTGCCAGCTGATATGATTCAATTCGTTAATAAAAAAGTAATATCGGATAAAAAATAAAATATAGATATATTCAGAAAAAAATTAATTGATAATAATGAATGTTCTTTTTAACAGGCAAGTTTTATGGAAATAATTTTTCATTGTTAATCTCATTTGGTTAGGTACATTGATTTACTTACTTTCCCAAAGTAGGTAGGCCTACCTATCAACAACAGTTGTAATTGTAAATTAATAAAATTGATTCTCCATCTTCGTCTAACCTACATTAGAAAAATATGAGTCTTGATATAGGCCTATTCATAATTAATCAAAATTCAAGATTTCAATTCAGATTTCTTTAACTTAGGTATAACTTTATCCAGTGCTCGATTTAAAAAAAATGAGGTGCTGGAACTGTAACCTATTTAATTTTATTTGTAGCCTACCTATTTAGGCCAATATTTTTATATTTCCAAAAGAGAGGTATCGGAACTCTGTTCCGCCATGTTCCCCCGCAAATAGAGCACGTGGTATAGGTTATATAACTTAAATATTTAGCCTATATCAAATTATTAATTGGCTTTTTCAAGGTTTAATCCTCTTACTTCATAATTCTTATAAGTTTTACAAAAAAATCCAGATTAAAAAGGAGTGTTTATTTTAAAATAAAATGATGATTATGTGAACCCTGTGTTTTCAGACGATAAGTTACGAGCCAAATCAGCAAATGGAACACAACAGTTTGGTAACAAACCACACCCTGTATCAGCCGATGACAGTTTCCACAACGCCACTTCACACGTACACCACTTCCAACCCGTACATGAACAACCCTGTCCTGCCGCTGCTCACACCTTCGCCCTCGTTCCCCTCGTCTGCACCAACCATGGAGGATATGGCCACGTCAACCGACCTATCAGAACCTGCAGTAATACTCAAGACTCCCTTGGAACTAAGCGAACCCACATATCCGGCCGAGGGGTTCGATTACTTTTTGGAAATCCAAAAATTCTTAATTAGCGGCCAATGTCCTCCGAATGTGTCTGAAAACTATGCTAAATCCCTGAAGAAACGAGCTCAGAATTATCTGGTTAGTTGGAAACTTCTTAAACGGAAATTTTGAATTTAATTTTTTAATCGTTTGTTAGTTTAAGAAAATATTAGGCCTACATTTGCTACTTATAAACACTAATTTTTATTATTTTTATGTTAAAAGCCCATTTTGTTTGTTTGTTTACATTGGATGTAAACATTCTTTATTTTCGTGATCCTTTTAGCGAATTTCCCATATAGGGAATAAGCTATTACCGTAGTACTCATGGTAAGACCTGGACGCGGGACCGATTTTTTTTTTCGTTTTGAGGTCCCTAGAGGCCAAAAACACCATCCGTTCAAATTCATATATATATGTGTCCGTCAGCACGATAACTCGAGCAAAAATGATCCGATTTTGATGAAATTTGGTACAAACGTGTAAACGTACGTTTATTCGAACGAGTTCGCGATCCAGCATGATCGGACCATGGGAACGGGGGTTTACGGGGGGTTTTATGGGGTAAAAATAGGTTTTTCCCATTTTTGACCCAAAAAACATAAAATTTAGCAATTTCTTTCCAAACCATTTTGTAGAGCTTAAAAAATTAATAATTTAGTATATTGAAGCGTTATTATGCGCCTAATGGTTACGGAGAAAATTCCAAAAAATTGTAAATTTAAAATTCCCATGTTATTCTTATGGAGAATAAGTAAACTGTTGTAGTTTGCTTGTTTGTGAACATATTTTGATCAAATTTGGAAAATGTTTTTATTTCTTACTAACTATTCACATTTTACAAAAAAAAACAGTTTTACCCTCCCTGATGCAGCAAACCTAAGTACTTGTTAAACTAATTCTATTTAAATCAAGAATAAATGTTATATTTTTAAGTAGACATTTCAGTGTAAATCCAATCAGTCAAATGGAAATTCGCTTAGTCTGCAGGTTTGCTGCGGCGGGGGTATTTTCATATGTGTTGGGTTATCTGATGTGTTGCTAAATAAGTTATTATGTAAATTTTTAACAACTTAATGTATGACTTGTTCTCTTTTTCAGATTATAAATGACAAACTGTATCACAAAAGTAAACAACCAAAGGAAGTGATTATGAGGAAAGACCAACAAGAAGACATGCTGTCGGACATTCATGTGGTAAAAGAAACAGGTAAATTGAAATTGATTTGGGTTTTATGAAGATCTGTAAGATTAAAAAGTATTCTTCATCCCCCAAAGATTGTTTTTGTAAGAGTTAGATTCAACATCCCTTTTAAAAAAAATTTTTATGTTACATAATACATTTGATTTATCTTGTGTATTTACGGAAAGTAAATAGAACGTAAAAGTGTCTCATAACACTTAAAACATGTTCTTTTGTTTACTTTCCGTAAATTTAATAACACCATTGACTGTTGTTGTATGAATAGTCAAAGATAACACGTACAATGCTGATCAAGAAGTTATCTTGTGTATTTACGTAGCAATTATTTTTTCAAGAGTTCTATTCAAATATTTATCCACCTAACAAGCCCAGCTCTAAGATCTAAAAGAGATAGTTTTATAGCTTATGGGAAATAGTTAAAAAATAACTTATAGTTTTTTTTTTCTCCTAGGACGCTAGGCACGAGACCGGAATTGTTTTTCACATTACTTCAGGCTAGACCTAGGGGTTACGGCATTATCACTTAGATAAAATCCATTGGTGATTTGGCTGGATTTGAACCCGGAACCCCAGGAACCGGAGTCCCGTGCTCTAACCACTAGACCAGCTGGTTCCCCGAAAATTACTTATAAATATAACTAACTAGCTGTACCAGCGGGCTTTGCCCCGTTTAACTTCACAAGTGAGCTCGTTCGCATGGCTCTAAATTTGAGTTGTTATTCAAAGAACCTAAATTTGATATGTTACAACCAGTCAATATTTTTGTATTGGAAATAAAAATGCTACCTTATTCCAGGTGTTCACTTGGGAGTCAAGAAGATGTTTAACAAGTTGAACATGAAATATTTCTGGCGAGGAATGTATACTGATGTGGTCAACTTTGTGAAAAAGTGCGACAAGTGCTCGGACCAGATTGACCCGATGAGGGGACCTCTCCACCCCTGCCCCGGGGGACCCACTCTGGGAATGGCTGCTCTTGGGGGTAAGTTTTAAAATGTGTTGTTGATAAATACATAGTCAGAAGAGAAGCGAAATAGTTAACTAAAGCTGCAACATGTGAGCATCTTATGGTATCATGGCGACATTGTGGTAATCTCTTGTCAATAAAGATAAAATCACTAGATTCCTGTTCAGAATTTTTTTTATTTTATTTAAATCCTAAAAATTATCTTTTTATTTTACTTAAATTTGTATGGATCCATATTTTTTAGCCGCTGAGCTGATCCTTTGACTAAATCAATTAAGTTACCTGTCGTCAATCATCTCCTGTAGTTTAACAAATGTTATCAAATATTTTTCTGTATTAACAACGCCTTACGGCTTTACGTTTGATGATGGCACAGAGATGTTAAAACAGCCGTAATATTTGTTACACTACAGGAGCTGATTGACAAAGGAAACTTTATTGATTTATTACATTTTATGGATTTATTCACAATAAAATCCCAATGAAACTAAACCTTATAGTCAGCAATGCAAAGATGTGTATCAGCTGTTTGGAAATAAAGTAAAAAAAAGGGACAGTAAATTATGAGTTAGTCTTGTCCTTGTAATTTGGGTTGTGTGTAAAAGCTTCCTATTATTCGTTGCAGTACTCTGACCCTGACTCCTTATTAGAGGCTCCACTTTATCTCTAAAATGTTAGTCTACCTTTTATTTATACTCTCATATTGGCCTCAACTATACAATATGTTCTTTTTGTAATTTGTTGCAATAAATTCTTGATTCTTGATATTTTTTCCCTATCTGTTAACACTGTTTACATCTTGTTGCAGGAGAGTCTGAAGATTCCGATGCAGTTGAAGACCCCTCCCCTCTCTCCCCCTCACCTTCCCCCGCCTCTCCTCTGAGAGGTGTGAGGGAATCGTGTAACAATGGTGTGGGAATCTGGAGGAAGGTGAGCCATAGTTTCTCAGCACGTAAAATATTTTGATCAAAGTAAGATCTTCTATAACTATTTGTAAAATGTATTAATCCTCCAAGTGTCTCTAGTTTTGGTCTTAATGTTCGCCCATTTATTGCGCTATCGCAGGGTTTTGTTAAAATGTATCTTAGAAACTTAAAAACAATGTAAAGTATACTGTTTTATATATCATTTTGTTTGGAAAATTATGGGCTTCAATGTAACATATAAAACATTACAAAAAAAAATGTTCAACAATTTTTTCAAAAATTATAAAAGAAATTAAAAAAAATTATGTTTGCGCTCAATAAATTGTTATAATTTATAGGTCTACAAATATTTTAAAATAGCCACTTTGTTCAGAATTTTATGAGGATTCCAAAAATATAATAATATAAGGAAGTAGATTTGCAAATAAATAAGTTATGGGCAAAAAACAGATTTCGGTACATAGCGTTTAGCTAAGAATGCATAGCCTAACCATAGCTAGGAATCTGGCTGATAATTTACATCAATATCACTACCTACTTCTTCAGGATCATCAACCAGCCCTTCAAAATCACTTAAATCTTCTTATAATGCACCACGTGTATCACTACTTTTGATTTTTAAGACTAAAACAATGATAAACGTAATAAAACACATCAGTCATCGGTGCGAGGTTAACCAAGCTGTTTACAAATACGCACGTCAGCTGTCTGCTACAATTATGATCGGCTAGAGAAAAAAAAGCGCTTAGAGACAGACCTCGGGAGAAAGCTTAGAATCTGCCAAAAAAAACGATACCTAACTCGATCCAGTTCAATCCGATTTAGTCAGTCATAGAGCCTTCGCCGTAAACAGTGTTTGTGAGTTGCAAAAGCGACACAAAACACTACACAAAGTGTGTTATGAGTCGCTTTTACGACACATAACACTCGGAGGGTTAACCTTCACCCTCTTTGTTCCACAATTTGAGATATTTGAAAACAATCCTTCTATGAGGGTCCACAGAGTTTCAATGAACTTTGGCAAATTACGATTTCCACTTAATTAAACTTTATACAATTTGCAAGTTGCAACCCCCATTCATTGTGGTTGCGCTTTGCAGCTAAGGTGTTTTGTTTTTGTGCAGTCACAAATTTTGCTCATTCAGCATCTTAAAAGTGTTACGTATTTATAACATACTAGCTGTACCTTAACTTCATAAGTGAGCTCGTGCGCATGGCTCAATCATGTCCTGGTTGAAGTTCGCTCGCTACGCTCACTCACCTTTAGGTTGGAGCTCGTTCGCTGCGCTCACTTGCCTTCAGGTTAGCTCATTCGCTACGCTAACTTGCCTCCAGGTTGAAATTCGTTCGCTACGCTCATTTACCTTTTGGTTGCAAATTTGCTGTTGTCATAAGAAAAAATAAATAGTGCTGCACCCTGTTGGTAATCCTTGTAACTTTAAAGCTATTAAACATCATAGAACAGAATCAACTTGTTTAATTGAAACAGCTGTTAAGATTCATTAATTCCATTTAAATATGAGTACTCATAAGGTTAACATGGGAAACTTCAGAGCCACTGGAGCGGAGCCCGAGAGTCCGATCAGAATAAAAACAACTTAGTTTTCCTATTTAATGCCTAAAGAATCAGTGTACCAAATTTCAGCCTCCTAGGTAAATGAGAAGTAAGAGTATTAGTGATGAGTGAGTCAGTGAGAGCTTTGCCTTTTATGTATACTAGTTAACCGCCCGTGCTCCGCCACGGGAATATTGTCAGCAATAAAAGAAATAATAATTAACAAATACTGTTTATCTTTGTATTTTATTTAGGGGTTGTTTAATTTTTTACATGAAATAGAACTGATAGTTTGCCTGTATAAACGGTTTTATATTAATCAAACCGATATATTATTTTAACCAAATGAATGTTTTATATTAATTCGAGTTTCATTTGAAAAATAAATAGTATACGAACTGGGCAATGCTGATAACCTAATAAGCAGCTATTTATGCTATTTAGATAATTTGCTCAAGTATATTCCTATATTCGTCGTTTTTTTTTTTCATTACATTTTTGTTGTATGGAATAAAAATAGTCACTTAGCCTACATGTAAATCACGCATCAGCAGTTGTTCACATTTCACGAATCTTTGACCCATACTGTGAGTAAAAGCTGTGTTTACGTCGTATATATAAAGTTGGGCATACTTTTTTCAATGTTAGAGGGTATTAACGGTCCAATTTGATGGAAAAGGAGTCGTGGATTTTAAAACTATGTAGACTAACACTACCAGAAAGATGTTGATTCAAGTGAGACTTAGAACTGGCCATTTCAAATGCAGATTTTTATTATATTTTACTCAAATAGTTTTTTGTCTCTTTTGACCCTTAATACATTTTTTATAGTCGCTGTTGATAAGATTTTCCATAAACTCACAATGTTGATAAGGAGTTCATTTTACCTTCCCCTTGTGACAACATAAGGAAAAACTATTTGTGTCCCAGTTAGTCTGTTCTGACTCAAAATTCATAGATTTGCAGTACTGACAAATCCAATCTAACGACTACAATTAAAAAAAAATTGTATTTTTTAGAAAGGACTTCCAGAGCACATTTAACACCATCACTGCTCTTTACCTTTTTAGTTCGATGGTTCTCTACATGTTTTTTTTTTCGTTCTGTGTGTCTCTTTACGCCCGGTTAATGATTACCTTTTCTTTTTCTTTTTGTACTTTTCACATCCTGGGGTTAATGACAAAGTTTTATAACGCTATAATGACCCGAGTCAACATTGCCATTAAACATCAAGTCAGATACTTCTTCGCCAGAACCGAAATCGTAAGTCACAGTTTCTCAAGCAACTTCCCTATGTACTTGAAAAAAAGTTGACTGATATATTGTAGTTCCACGTATCCCAGCGAACTCGCCATCTCGAGAAGGTAAAGTTTGGTACCACTGAACGTCTAACACTGATCTTGAGTAAGATTCGTCACCTACTATAAAATGTTTGTATGTTTCCCACTCATTAGCAATTATATGTACAACTTGCAAGCGGATTTCCTAATGATTATTCTGGTGGCCGTAGAGAATAAATTATATTGATCAAAACAATAAGTTTCCGTTCCCTACTATGGGTATTATTTCACATTCCATACTCAAACTTAAACTCAATTACCACTTTTCTTCAGATCACTTTGAAGGAAAACGAAAACATTTCAAAAATAAGTTAACAAATACACTTTCCTTGATCAAAATCGTGTGTTTATAAACAGGAACTCCAAGTTTAACAATTGCATACTGAAAGTGAGGATATAAAAATAATATCAAATGTCTGACAAACATTAAACAGCTGACGAATAATTTATAAACTGTGAATTATATTCTTCAATAAGAATTGTATTGACTCGACCTTTAAAAGGCTGTAGGTCGTAGCCCTTAGAAAAAACGTAAATTCTAAGGAAGTTCGGCAAATCTACACACTATCCCCTTTAATTTGAGACATAAATCTTGTAGATCGGTCCAGTAATTACTAAGACCAGTAATTACTAAGAAAACAGTGTTACAACTGTGTATTAAATATATAGATAGATCAAGGCCACACTAAAAAAACAGGCTGTAATGCTCGTCAAGCATGACGTCACGATAGAATAGGGCAGTGACGTAATGTTAGCCGTTTGTGATCAGCTGCTTGTTTTAATCTTTCCTTGAAAAATAATTAAATAAATACATATATACGTCATTGCCGTCTTCTAGAGTGACGTCATGCTTGACGAGCATTACGGCCTGTTTTTTTTTAATGTGGCCTTGATATAGATTCATAAGTCTTTGTTAAATCTTTGTTATGAAATACAAACTTTTAAGTGTTGATCAACTAGAATTAAATAGAACTATTGTACCTGTTCGATATGAGAGTTAATAGAGATTAGAAAAAAACAGTGTCACATACCTTTCAATGTAAAAATCCAACACTGGAAGGTTGCAGGGGGAATGGGGATTGGGTGAGCTCACCACGCTGAGGGACACACAAGAAGTTCTTGAGGTTCTGATGCACTGCACACACTCGAAAGGGAGAATTTAGTATTATTTTTCACTAATAAGAGATAGAGGTTTGAATGTGGGGACACTTCCACCACGAGGTGGTCAAAAGACCGAGAGATTGCCAGAAAAACGGCGCGGCGCGGCACATACGTCCGAACGAGGAAGGTTTTAGACGCTAACTGAATAAAATCATGGTGGGGAAATTTGAATTTTCCATGAGAGGGAAAGAGACAGAGATAGATCACGCCATATGACGTAGGCATCGTATGATTTTAAGGAGAATGTGGGGGAGCGGAATTGCCGTGGTGTGTGTGTGTGTGTGAGTAGAGTAGAGTACATTTTACAGACTTAAAATAAGTAACTAATATACAAACAAATGTTAAAAACCTATGCACACTGTTAATTAAATGTTAATAAAATACAGTACATGAATAATGATTAAATAACTAATTAAGCAGGCTTACCTTTAAATAAGTCCATAGAGACACATAAAACATCACAAAATTAAAAGTAGAAATTTTCGTGGTCACTGACCACTTTTTCAACCACTGGAGATTGAAGAAAAAAAAAAAAAAATTTTTTTTTTTTTTTCTCCAATCTCCAGTGGTTGAAAAAGTGGTCAGTGACCACGAAAATTTCTACTTTTAATTTTGTGATGTTTTATGTGTCTCTATGGACTTATTTAAAGGTAAGCCTGCTTTCCTGTCAATTTCCTTAATAATTCCTGGCAAATGCCCTATCTTTTTATAAGATAAATAACTAATTACCATATTTACAAAACCGTACTGAACAGTACCTCTTGCTCGAATTTGAGCAATTGGGAAGTATTACAGGCAAAAAGTGCCCGACACATCACTAGTATTTACACATTTATATACGTGTTGGATGCTTGTAGGAGAGGTATTTGCAAGGTTTATATCGTCACCTTTTTTTGTTGACAGGTAGAAGTACAATTGCACGGGCCGTATGCTACGACGACTGGCCACAACGAGTACATCGCTACTCTATCAGACCCTGACTCTGGCTGGTGCTGTGCTCGCCCTTGTCCAGCCTGTGAACACTCAGAGTTCCTCTCGGACTTCATCTTCCATGAGTTTTGCAATTTCGGGTTCGCTCGATGTTCGCTTGTTGGGTGCTCACAGGAACTTGTACTAGCTGTGAATGAAGATTTTGTGGCAAAGGTAGATATTTGTACATTAGTTTTAATATGTATTCCTCATTGTTGAAGCTGATTGATGTTTTCCTCACACAAGCTCAGAAGTGTGTAGTTACTTAAATTCTTTCGATAAATCCCACATTATTTGTGTTCTTAAATGATAGAAACAAAATTTCTTGTGGTAGAGTTTTGGAGTGCTTGTTGTTAAAATGTTTGAGGGTGTTTTCTTTCAATACAAATTGTAAATTTTTAGATCCTACAGAAAAAAGTTGTAAAATTTGCCTGGTATATTTTAACATAGGAATACATACCCTGTTGCTATATTTCTGCATGCTTCATCCCTCCACAGTTCCCATTCTTCTACATCTGCATCTCACTCTTTAAATCTCCATTAATCTCTAAATCTCTTCTATCCACTTACTTCTGGTCTTCCTCTTGATCTCCTTCCCTGCAACATATCAACTCCATTAAAATATTATTTGCCACACCCTCTCAAACGTCTTCAACCATCCTAGTTTTACATTTCTACTCGTACTCTTAAGCCGTCTTTGAACAACTAATCTTCTAATTTTTCCTTTTACCATAGATCTACAAAAACTGAAGATCTTAACTCAATAGTCTTACCATATGCTTGATATTGGTTTGTGTTTCAAGGCCTCACAGTTGGGTGATATGTTTACGTCTGCTACCATAGACAGTGTGGACCAACAACAGTCGTCATGTAGCTGGGTGGAACCCCTAATGGAGAGACTAGTGCAGGCCCACCCTTGCAACTGGGACCAGTACCTGGATCTCTTCCTCTTCCAGGTTTGTGATTTAGTTCTCTTTGGCAGTTTTTTTTCCTAGGACGCTAGGTACAAGCCTGGGATTGTTTTTCACATTACTTCAGGCTAGACCTAGGGGTTGCGGCATTATCACTTAGATAAAATCCATTGGTGACTTGGCGGGGATCGAACCCGGGACCTCAGGGACTGAAGTCCTGCGCTCTAACCACTACGCCACCTCACTCTCTTTGGCAGTAAAGTAGACCCCCTCTTAACCAACCCTAATGGGACCGGACCTAGGTCGGATACCTAACTCAAAAGGTTGGTTAAAACGGGTAATCTCTAAAAACTTAAAAAAATTAAGTGCTATTCATTTGGAATGATATAGGCTTATCATTTTTCTGAAGTCGTGTGTGCATTATTTACAAAATAAATTACACTTATCTCCTTTTTTAAGTAGGGTATTGATGATTGAAAAATCACAAATAAACCCAAAACATGGTAAAGGTAACACCTATAGTAATATTAACTGGTGCTTTCCAAATATATCATAATACAGTACAGAAGTTATTGTCAAAATTAAAGATACAACTAGCCATTTCGTTATGAGACAGGATGTTAAACATCCTGTTTGCGTGTTTGAAATGCCGAGATTCCTAGAAAGTGGTGGTTAAACCGAACTGCTCTCAAAACAAGGTCGTTTAAAACAAACTGTAATATTTCAAGAGCGAGTGCGGACAGTCCGACTATCGGTTAATGCGAGGTCGGTTAAGAGGGGGTCTAGGCCTACTGTAGTTGGTAAAGAAATTAAATTATCATATATTCTAACAAGTAGATTATCTATTATCGACCAGCTGTTCAGGGTTTTTTTTTCATTTTTCTGTAAAGTTTTATATCTGTTGACACCAGATTGTGTTGATCTTTCTACAGTAGAACTTATACAATGTTGTATTGCAAAAGATTCCAGATTACTAAGCACCATCTAAAAATAGGTCTATTTTCAAATTAATTCAGCTTAATATAAGAAAGAGGGATATTATAATGTATGAGGCCATTATATTATGTTCCATTGTGTTTTTAAAAAATGCCTGTATATTGGGGTTCACTATCAGTTATAGTGAATATATATATATTTTTTCATATTCTTTACTGATGTAAATGTTCCAGTATCGCATTGGAGAGTTGAAAGAATTCTTACCGTTCTCTTATGAGTCTCCGTTTTCACTCCTGTTCAAACACAATCCTCTGAGTTTCACATTGTTGGACCAAGATAAAGAAAATGTTGATGGAAACAACACCTACAAACTACGGAGAAGAAAACCTCACAACAGACTTCTGCAGGTATTATCCTGTCATAGACCCTTTAAAAATAACTGTGTTTTGCTGTTGGTAACTAGTATAATTGCTAGTTCAGTACTGACATTTGACTCTCAATAATCCAACATAGGTAATAATTAAAACAGCTGATTTTTATTTTACTCTCTAGGGTGTAAACATTCAGGGAGAAAAAATTGGACGTTTCATCACTAGGGCTCTTCGACCCGAGCTAAAGTTTCGGAAAATGAGCAAGGGTTGAAAAGAAACTTTTTGCCTCTGTGATGGATGAACTATATTTTTGTCATATTGCTACCTACATCAATTAAACAAACTTAGTTTGAAAAAATACTTTTTAAGTAAAGATAACCTCTCAAATGACTTCCAGCTTGTTTTCAATATTTTTTTTCGAAAATAAGCAGCTGTGTAGTGTAGGGCTAAGTGATTCAATAACAATTTATGGTTAACCTATAAGTTAAAGCTATACAGTAGCCTAACTTTAAAAATCATGATTTGTTCAAGTTTTCATTCTAACAATCTCTCATACAAATAATAAGGGAGACATGTTTTTATGTTTTTCTTCAGATTTTGCAATTTTGATTCAAAACACTTTGGCATTGGATAAAGCGTTGTGTGATAAAGCCCATACTAATAGGTTTAAATAAAATAATTTCAAGTAGACACTCTGAACCTATTAAACTCTTGAAAATCTTTCTTAGTATCTTTATGTATAGATTGTTTAAAAAAAATACTATGTTTCAGTGCAGGCATTGTGACACCTTGTTTACGTCTAAGCTTTCGTTTCGCATTCACCAACGCAAACACCAGGGAGAAGGCTACCGTCGTCTGCTAAACAAAAAACGACTCAACAAGTCTCGAGGTATTTTTTGTACAAGATTAGTTTGAAATATGTTCTTCAATTTTAAGTTTACTTTTAGTGTTAGTGTTGAGCAGAAATCATCAGATAAAATAAAATAAACAAATAAAAAATCTGAACTTTTGAAGTTTATTTTATGTGTTAGTAAGAAAAAATTGACTATGAGCTGGACTCAAAAGAATAAAATCTATTTGAAATTTGGGATTTTTTTTGTAATTTATTAGACTTCACCAGAACATACAATGTGACTCAGCGATTTGGACTTACTAGTAATTTTTGCTGAGCATAAGATGAAAATTAGCTGAGCTGCTCTGGGTATAATACTCAAAATTATTTCCACACAATTAATTGTTAATTTCGAGGGTCATAAAAAACAAAAGTTATGCTAAAAAGGGCTGGTATGCAGATTGTGAATAAATCTTTTAAGATCTTATTTAAAATAATCCTTCTCTAAATTTTTGTTATGGGTAGAATCTTGACTTTACACTTTAGTCCATTCCAAAAATGAAATAAAATGAAATGAAAAAGTGCTTTTATTTACAAAAAAATTGTAAAACAATAAATTTTTTCTGCACTAAATACAATAATGGACATAAATTGGTTGGCACAAGTGCCAACCATTCCATAAATTACATGTTGTACAATAATACATTTCTGAATACAGTAATTGTAAATTTATCTCTAAAATGAATTCTGAACAGTTATTAATGGTTGAGTGTAAAAAAGTAGGGTTCAGGAATTAATTTTACATTTAATTTTTCAGAAACAAACAACTTGAAAAGACCAAATGTCCAACTGCCTGGGACTTGGAAGGAGAGCACAGTGTCAGCAGTGAAAGCTCTTTTAGAGGCAACAAAAGACGAGAGAAGAAGAAGAGGCAAGTATCACAAGTACTCGGTGGAGCTACAGGAGCAGATGGTAGAGTACGCAGTGAAGAACGGTAATACTGCTGCAGCCAAGTACTTCTCAGAGAGACTTGGAACTTTGGTGAACGAGAGTACCATCCGCAACCTCGTCAAGATATACAGTGCCTTCACACCTTCAGCCATAGATGAAATCGGACGTTTCGCTGTCAACTACGGGGTGGAACCGGCAGCAAAGTTCTTTTCTGAACGCTTAAAAAGAGACATCTCTCAAGGCCATGTCAGGAAGTTCAAAGCAACATACTTGAGCAGGCGTCCAGCATCCGAACAAAAACAGAGTGAAGAGTCTATGTTTCCTGAAGATAGAAGAAATGTGAATCCGATTAGAAATAATGAATCAAGAGTGAAAAGATACACAGTGAAGATGAAACTAGAAATCGGTGAATACGCTGTTAACCATTCTGTAAAAGACACGGTGGAGCATTTCACTGAAAAGCTTCAGATGCCAGTGAAGGAAAGGACGGTGAGGAGATTTCACGAGATGTATCTTGATAAGTTTCAAAGCCAGAACGAAGAAGCTAGTCAAAATATCCAGAGTATGGAACCGATGAGTTGTGGCAATCAGGAGACAGTGCATGTCAATGTTTACAGCACGTTTCCTGAGACACAGAACAACCCGGTGACGTTGTATCAGTTGAATCAGCCTCAAGCAGGTAACAACATTTGCTATCAGACTGCAGCCAATGCCTCCGTCATTACTACACAAAGCAATTATCACTCACTTCAAAACTTCTCATCTTCCATACCTGTTACACTACCAACAGCTCCTCCCCCTTACCCAATAGCTGTAATAGGTGGTAGAATAAACTCTGAAAAACCCTCCAATGTTCCCGACGATTCAGATAATCAACAGGCTCAGTCGTCCCTTGTCCCGCAACATTCCTTGGTCCTCACCAACCAAGACAGAGGAGGTCCTTTCCTTCCCCATTTTCTCGCTTCTCAACCTCTTCAGCCAACGATTTTGACTCTAATTTCAGAAAAAGAGCCTCTAAAGGTTTCAAATAGGAGTGAAATGCAGCCAAGCTTTACGTCTGAATGTTACCAGGAAAACCTGCCTGTTGTTACTGAACTTATGACTCATCCTGCAAAACATGATGTTGACAGGTTCAACTCAAAGTCTTCAGTTCCAGTCCCTGTTGTCACGAAACTTGTAACTCATAAAAAACATGAGATCCTTGAAAGGTTAGACTCAAAGTCTTCAGACTTTAGTGATTCAGAAAAACCACCAGATGGAAAAAGGCCAAATGCTAAAAAACAGACAAAGAAAAAAGACAAAGGATCCAAAAAGAGAGGAACTTATACAACTTACAGCCCTGAAGTAAGAGCTGAAATCGGGAAATTCGCTGCAGAGCATGGAAGTTTAAAAGCATGCCAACATTTTGCCAATATTCTTGGCCATGACGTTCCGGAAAGCACTGTACGAGGGCTGAGGGAAAAGTATTTGATGAAGAAGAAGCATTGCCAAGTAACAAGTCTCGGATATTCCCAGAGAGGTCGTCCGTTGCGGTTAGGGAAGTATGATGAACTCGTCCAAGAATGTATAAAAGATCTAGTTAGGTCAGGAGAAAAGGTTTCTTCTTTCTTAGCTATTGCAACAGCCAAAGAAATTTTGAACAAGTATGAGCCGGGACTTTTGGAGGAAAATGGCGGATCTCTGAAACTCAACATAACTTGGGCAAAGTCATTCCTCAAGAGAATCGGAGTGCACAACAATTCTTGAAACTTTGGACTAATAAACCATGGCTGATAGTTAATTCTAAGCTTTAACAAGGCTTAAGACATAGTCTTCCAGTTTAGTTGTTTTAAACTTGACTTGGACTTTCTAACTAACATAGTTTTTAAATTTTGTATTTTATAAATATAAAAAGATATTAGCTGCATCAAAGATAAAATGCTCTTTTACAGCAATTGCCAAGACTTAAATTTATTGTTTTGGTTAAAAAAAATTTCATTATTACTGGCACTTTTATTGGTATATTGTGAGCAAGTTTCTTTTAAGTGTCACACAACATTATTTCATATCAATTTTTGACATGTTTTTTACATCTTAATTTCATATAATCGCGCATATAATTAGCTCATTGTTATTTATTTTAGGTTTAAGACTTTTTATGTTTTAATGTAAGCTCGAATTTATAATATTTATATATATTTAGGCATTCTATGTCATATTATTATTTGGCATTTTCAATTCTATATATTTACATTTCTTGGATTGATTTGTTGTTTTTATACATAAATTTTATGTAGTTTATTTATATTTATTGTTTGTATTTTATATAATTTAATTTGTGTACCTTGTACATTTTTGAAGAACTTTAAATTATTATCTTATTTTGTCACACCAATTTCCCGATTTGAAATAAGTCACCATTTATATTATCAAAAGGCCTCGCCCCCTATACATGTTAAAAATGACTTGTAATTATAATTATGAAGTATTTTAAAAATACAGTGGATAACATACTGATTCCTTCCAAAGTAATAATTATTGATACTAGTTAAAATATATTTGTCTCCAAAAGGTTTTAAATTTTATTGCTGTAATAATAATTATAAAATTTTCTCACAAAATGAAATATGGCAATTTCTCATGTTGGTACTTTTAAGAAATTTATGTTGAAATTAACAACCCCTCTTTTCTACCTATGATTGAGATTAGGATGTGATTTTACATATTTGGACTGATGGGAATTGGTATAGCTCCATTTTCATTAGATATTTTCTTGGAAGGGATTGTTACATGCATATCAAAATTTTGTGGTTTTTAGTGAATTTCCTATGCAGAATTTAAGCTATTTATTTTTACAGATGTTTTACTTTTTCCAAATTTCCTTCTCTTAGTACTTGTACCTATGAGAACTCCCCTTATGTTTCAATTTTACCAAATGGTAATCTGATTTTACATTACATGGGAAGTCTATTTCGTGTATAGTCAATGTCAAATTTCACTTACTTCAAGACAGTTTTGACGCATACTTGTGAGCCAAAAAAACAAAGAAAAATATTCTATGAAATTTGTATATTCAGTTCGTGTAATACTAGCCTATTATGTCAAAAAATCTACAAAACCTTTTGAGACAAACATATTCTAAACTTTTTCGAACAATTTTAGGATAATATAGTACTATTTTACTCTCTGCAATCAAACATTGTCCTAATACAAGTGCCAAGTGAAATTTATTTTTCATGAGGTTTTGGTAATAGGTTTTGGCCGCCTTCCCCCAAAACTGTTTTATATAATTTTTTATGTTTCATATACCATCAATGATATTTCATTTATATTAATTTAAAATGTAAACCCTATTATATTTATATTTTTAAGCGTCTGTTAAGTTTATGAATAGTTTCATGAATACTCTCCTGAACTGTTTTGTAATTTGTGATATTTGATAAAAAAACTTCTTTGTACAAAATATTCTTTTTATTTGTTCTCCACAATAACACATTTAACTTTGTATAAACTTTGGATAAAGTTATCAAGAAAGTAAATAAGTACACAATGAATTTTACTACATTATACAATCAGTTTTCTCTCATATTTAGGTCAATTTAGCCTGGATACAGAGAAACGGATTAAAAATAGAAATTACCTTTGGGGTGCAGCAGAAGTAAAAAACCCATTTAGATCAGTAAAACAAGTAACTGTTAGGGTTATGCTACAGTTTTTTTTAGGTTAGATACATAAACCTCAAGAAGCTTGCTGTTTTCAAACAATATACAACCAAATTTATTAGTGAAGAAAACTACGATTGCACAACATATCCATTGTTAAACATGTTACAGTGTTGTACATGCTGGCTCATGTCATATTGTTATCAGATATCTATGATGTCCTGCTGTATGATAAGCTGTCTCTTTGACTATGATTTCACTAAACAGTGGGTGGTGTGATAAGAATCAGATTGTGCAAACGCTGTCAACCTGTCTAAAGGCACAAAGTGTTTGGGATACACCAGTCACATCAACAAACAAGAAATATTAATCTATTAGCAAATTTCCCTATAGGGAAGAAGCTGTTACCTATAGTCCTCCCTAAGCCCATTGATTTTTATTTTGATAGTCCTAGATGCCAAAAACAATGTTAGTTCAAAATATAAATGTATGGCTATCACACATATCTGCGAACACTGTAACTTCAGTGGTTTTGGTCTGATTTTGGTCAAATTTGGCATACATGTAATGTGAAAGCATGTGTAAGGCTAGGTAAACTTAATTAAATTTGTGAATCAGCAAGATCGGGTAATGGGAGCAGAGCATTATGAGGATTTGATATTTTTAACTAATTGCTTTTTAAATAATGTTATTTAAATAAAGGACAAATCTGACATTTTTTCAGGAAATATTTCAGTGAACATCCCACTAGAAAAATAGAAATCCTTTTAGTGCAGCGGGAGTATTTAATTCAGTCACTAGTCGCTACCCTTGCTTTGCAACGGGGTCAGGTCAACTAATTTATACACAATTGTCCTTATGAAGGCAACTCCCCATTTCGCGGTATATAGTAGGCTACCGTAAGTCAGAAATATATCTATAAATTTGTCCCTAAATTTTAAAACAGTAAGGCCCATTTCCCGGAATCTCTTTTTCTGTAGCAGAAAGCGACGCAAAAACCGTTGCACTGTTGTATTAAATAACTTCTCGATCAGCATTGTAGGTACATGTTATTATTGTCATTCGCCTATTGGGTCTGATGATGATTGGAGTGTCCAATCGAAATCGATCACCACTTACCATCTCTTTTGTATATTTACCGCCCGTCTTGTGAGTAACAGTATAAGCGTAAATATGTTTTAATTGTTATAAGAGGTTTCTTTTATTTGCTGCTGTATAGCCTTATGTTTTTTATGAAGTTAGAATCATGTAAAAACATTTCTTTTAGTTCGTCATTTAACTGTGTTTGTGGCATGTTAATGAGTCCATTGTGGCAACATGCTTCGAAATGTCCATTTGTGGCCTCCTCTGCGAACTGAAATGTGCCACAATACATGCAAGTGCTGTTAAAAGGACCTAGATTGTGAGAAACGACACTCAACTCATTTTCCAGCATTCTTCTGAAGGAAGGTTGTAAACCAGCTTGTGGATTTCTTTCATATTTAGGCCTTACATGACGTTCTCTTTCAGCATTTCTTGTGTTAGTTGAATTCCTAGATACTCTTCCACGTCTTGCAGGTCCTCCCCTACCCTGATAAGTTACTTCATCACTCATTATAAAAACGAAAAAAAATCCTGGATACTCTTCACGTCTTGCAGGTCTTCCCCTACCCTGTCTAGTTACTTCACTCATAATAAAAACGGAAAACAAAAAAATTAAACAAATACAGTACATTTCATTTTGAAACATTATTTAACAACATTGACTTTCGGAATAAATGTATACATTGCAAATAAATAAGTAACAGCTGATTAGAATGCAGACGTTTTTCAGTCCCCATGCTTTTCTTATGGTGGATACTTTACGTTATATCTCGTTTTCTGGCAACTTTATGGGAATTCTGGTATTTTCCCCGAGTCCCTGGGGTCAAGACCTTTAATTTAAGACCTCTCCCCCTTTTTCTGCAACTTACCAGACGTCCACAAGTTTCTGGTAAAAATTTTATCTTACAGAATTATATATATAGATGGGAAGGGATCTGACCTAGTGGTTGGTAGAGCCTGGGACTTCGCTCCCAGACGTCTGGGTTGACCACCAATTACGAATGAATTTGATCACAGAAATATACCCTATAGTCTGTAATTCGATCTACAGTATTTGATAATCCCTAAACCCTCTAGTGCTCTGACGTAATGTGTCAAAACAGTTTCAGACTAAAAACCCAGAAAAAAACTAAACATACAGAGAAAATGATGACACCCTACTAAATCATAAGAGATAAGAAGCAAATGTATTACCACTGCTATTGTAAACGACGGGCGTTTGTTTAGGGCCCCTTAGCGTCGGCACAATTCAGGTGTTCAATTTAGGAGCCCAGGAAATCAACGGCACATTTCGGATCCACCCGTTCCAGTGCCACGAAAGCACCAAAAGATGTAGCCTATTTCAAATTTAAGTTTCTTAGCTGCAGTGTTTAGGCCTATTACTAGCACCGAATACAGAAATACATCACCTATGTGGTGCTAGTATATTTAACATGATACGTTTCCTCCGCTCGATTTCGAGCACTCTACCTCTGACATGTGACAGGTCCACGTATTGTCCGACACCTTTGTGGTGCCGCGACCACGTGGGCGTACAATACACATTGGTAGGCTGACAACTGGGAATCGCCTGCAAGTTACTGTGGCGTATGGCGTCGTTGGTCAAAAATATTTTTTTTTAAATGCCAATTTTATTGAGTAGGATTGGATGAAACCATTGAATTTTGGACACTGAATCAGACATCCTGTCTACACACGGATCTGATTAAACATTGTTAGGCCTATATTCAATAATTGTAACATAGTTGAATGAATAAGCCATTCAAAGTGTCAAAATTCGTTGTTCTCAAAAAGTATTTAGTACTATAACATTTGATAATAGATGTGACATAAAATACCTGACGTTATAAGTTTTCAATGTTGATTGGTTTGAACGTTTGCGTAGTCGACAGAAATCTATAGTTGACATCAGTGGACCCTGTCGGTTGTTTAGTGGAACGAACCACTTTTAAATAGGAGAATACTTGAAATTAAGTCTAGAGGTTTCCACTAAATATCATTGTTTTAATTTAACATATTTTTAAAAGTAATTAACAATTAATTGTTTAGTGCAAAGAAAAATGATCCACTTTTGTTGGAAAAGAATGTCCCTTTGTTTATTTTCCTCTTAATTTTTTTTTTAACATTTAATTTCATTTACAATCTGTTCAACAAAAAATAAACAATAAGCAAATTTGATAAAATTCAAACACAGTAGTTAGTA